CTAGGTACATATGTAATACAGCCCAGCCCAGGTGAGAGCTTGTGCTGACTAAGACCTCGACGAGACCCCAAGAGATCCAAGTTCAAACAATCCAACGCGCTCTCACCGCCAGAGTCTGCGATAGCTTCCTTTTTTGACCCCCAATCTCGTGCTATTTTTTTTACTGCCTTCAGAGTCTGGTAAGCCTTGACCTGGACTCACCTCCTCCTGATTCCCCCGCCCAATCATTTCTCGTCCTGACATCGTGCTGACCCCCCAACCCCTCTAAAGGATCTCTACCCCACCGATCACACTTGCTTCCTATTCCCCCTCTATTATTTGATACTGCCCTGCAGCCGCCCTGGCAACCCCATATCATACCAAGGCGGTTCCCATCAACCTTCGCTCTTGATTCTCGTGTCTCAAACCCTATTCCGTCATCAGAGGCGACATCGCCAGCCTGCGCCGGGATGTCGATTTCGGTACAAGAGCTGGACAACACGGTCCGAGCTTTGTTTGAGGGCAAAGGTGCCGTGGTAAGTTTGAAACCATCTACTCTACCCTCGGATTGCAGAATTCATGGATTCTCTCCATCTCCTCTCCATGAAGCTCGGGGAACAATAACACTGACATTCATAACCGCGTCTAGCAAAACCAAGCACAGCAGACTTTGACCGAAGTAAGCGCGCAGTCCCTCTTTGCAACCTCTATGAATTGATAGCTAACCACCCATGTGCTCTTCAGTTCAAGCAAAATCCCGATGCCTGGGTCACCGTGGGCAATATCCTCCAAGAGGCCTCATACCTTCAAACCAAATGTGTGTTTTGAGTCTTTAATATCCCCCCCAATGCCTTCAAATGCCTAGGTAAAAAAAAAAAAAAAAAAGACTTGCTGACCTTAATAGACATTGCTCTCCAAGTTTTGGACAATGTGATTATGACACGGTGGAAGGTTCTACCAAGAGACCAATGCCAGGGTAAGAACTACAATAACCTCGTGGTTTTGTCTCCCGCCCTGTACTAAGATTATTCTTCATAGGTATCCGCAATTTTATTGTCAGATTTATTCTCGAGAATTCCGAATCCGAAGAGAAGATCCAAGCGGAGCGCCCTCTATTGAACAAGCTCAATCTCGTTCTCGTCTCCATTCTCAAGCAAGAATGGCCGCACAACTGGCCCACCTTCATCAACGAGATCATTTCTTCTTGCCATGCCAGCCTTTCGATCTGTGAAAATAACATGACCATTCTCCGTCTATTGTCGGAGGAAGTCTTCGATTTTTCGCAAGATCAAATGACCTCGGCCAAAGCACGGAACTTGAAGACCTCCATGACCTCGGAATTTGCGTCGATCTTCCAACTGTGCTCCGAGGTTCTCAACACTGCAAACCAGCCCAGTTTGGTGAAAGCAACCCTTGAAACTCTCCTTCGATTTTTGAACTGGATCCCGTTGGGCTACATCTTCGAAACCCCGATTATCAACACTCTCCTCACCCGATTCCTTGGAGAGCCCGAGTTCCGAAATGTGACTTTGAAGTGTCTGACTGAGATTGGTGGCTTGCAAATTGGCACTCCCTACAACTATGACGAGCGATTGGTGCACATGTTCACCGAGACCCTTACCACCGTTTCCAATGTCATTCCTTTGTCCCTGGACCTGAAGCAGACATATGCCATGAGTAATGGAAGAGACCAAGAGTTTGTATCAAACTTGGCCTTGTTCCTCTCAAGCTTTTTCAGCGCTCACCTGGATGTATGCTCCTCCTTTTCTCCAACCCTTGTTTTGTTTTGTTCTGCTTTTTATTGACTCTCTACTTTCTTCTCTAGCTCATCGAAAAGTTGCCTAACCAAGATTACCTCACACACGCACATTTCTATCTGATTCGGATCAGTCAGATCGATGATCGGGAGGTGTTTAAGATTTGCTTGGACTACTGGACAAGGCTCGTGCAGGAACTTTACGAAGAGATGCAGCAGCTCCCAATTACCGACATCAACCCGCTGGTATCCATGGGCGTTAGCGGATTGGCGAACGGTGGCGCGCCCAATCCCACTACCCTAGCAAACTACCCCTTGCGCAAGCACAAGTACGAGACTGTGTTGACAAACCTTCGCACCGTCATGATTGAGAAGATGGTCCGCCCAGAAGAGGTCTTGGTTGTTGAAAACGATGAGGGTGAAATTGTGCGCGAGTTCGTCAAGGAAAGCGATACTATCCAACTTTACAAGACGATACGCGAGTGCTTGGTCTACCTGACCCATCTGGATGTGGTCGATACGGAGACCATCATGATTGATAAACTGGCTAAGCAGGTTGATGGAACAGAATGGTCGTGGGTGAACTGCAACACGCTGTGCTGGGCTATCGGTTCCATTTCTGGAGCCATGAACGAGGAAACCGAGAAGCGCTTCCTGGTAACCGTAATCAAGGATCTTCTTGGCCTCACAGAGCAGAAGCGTGGAAAGGACAACAAAGCCGTGGTGGCGAGTAACATCATGTACATCGTGGGACAGTATCCCCGGTTCTTGAAGGCTCACTGGAAGTTCCTGAAGACAGTCGTCAACAAGCTTTTCGAGTTTATGCACGAAACACACGAGGGTGTCCAAGACATGGCTTGCGATACCTTCATCAAGATCGCCAACAAGTGTAGACGGCACTTCGTGGCACTCCAACCTGGTGAAAGCGAACCTTTTATTGAAGAAATTGTTCGAAACATGAGGAAGATTACCATGGACCTTTCCCCGCAACAGATCCATACTTTCTACGAAGCCTGTGGTTACATGATCTCTGCTCAAGGCCAAAAGGGTCTCCAAGACCGCTTGACCGAGAACCTGATGGCGCTCCCCAACACTGCCTGGGATCAGATTATCGCCGAGGCAAACCAAAACCCGGCCATTCTCCAAGATGCTAACACCATCAAGATTGTCGGAAACATCATGAAGACTAATGTTGCAGCTTGCTCCTCGATTGGTACCTACTTTTATTCTCAGATTGGCCGGATCTACCACGACATGTTGAATATGTACCGTGCTGCCAGTCAGCTGATTAATGATGCTGTTGCAAGTGATGGTACGTAATCCGATTCACCGTCGATGAACGTCCCAATTTAAAAAGAAGTTTGTTCTTTTTGACTGACACCCAAACAGGAGCCATCGCTCCGAAAACCCCCAAGGTCCGGGGACTTCGAACGATCAAGAAAGAAATCTTGAAGCTCATCGACACCTACGTGGACAAGTCAGATGACCTTGAGATGGTCAATGCCAGCATGGTACCGCCGCTCATGGAGGCCGTGCTGATTGACTATGCCCGGAACGTCCCCGATGCACGTGAGGCTGAGGTCTTGAACGCCATGACTACGATCATCCACAAGCTTCACGTATGTTCCTTCTCCCTAATTGCCTGGCTTGATGACTGGGGATTACCTTTATTTGATGGCCCGGCACATCGCATACTTGTACCTTGCTAACGAGTTAATTAGAATCTGATGGAGGATAAGATCCCTGCCATTATGGACAGTGTTTTCAACTGCACTCTTGAGATGATCAACAAGGACTTCCATGAATACCCTGAGCACCGTGTCGAGTTCTTCAAACTGCTTCAAGCTGTCAACCTGTACTGTTTCCAAGCACTTCTGAAGCTCGATGCTGCGCAGTTCAAGTTTGTTATCGATTCATGCATGTGGGCATCGAAGCATGACAACCGCGAGGTGGAGAACACTGGTCTTACAATGTGCCTGGAGCTGATGAACAACATGGCCGAAACTGACCAGCAAACCTCGAGTATTTTCTTCCGCGAGTTCTACATTCCAATTCTTCAGGACGTCTTCTTTGTCCTCACGGATAGTGACCATAAGGCTGGTAAGTAATGTCCTTTGTCCTAGTTACGAAGCAGGAAATTTACTTACGTGATCTTTTAGGATTCAAATCCCAAGCCATGCTTTTGTCGCGTATGTTTTACTTTGTGGAATCTGGCAAAATCCAGGAGCCCATCTATTCCCCCGATCAAGCCCCGCCTGGAACTTCAAACAAGGAATTCTTGCAGGAGCACATCGCAAATCTGCTCAAGAATGCATTCAGTAATCTTCAAGAGTAAGTTCCCTCGGTGTCGATTTGAACCCATGCAAGACCGTCCTAACTTTTCCCACCAGAGCACAAATCAAGCAGTTTGTTCTTGGATTGTTTGCATACACAGATGATCTAAACAAATTCAAGACTCACCTTCGTGATTTCTTGATTTCCCTGAAAGAGTTCTCCGATGATAATGCGGAGCTGTATGCGGAAGAGCGGGAACAAGCGGTGCGCGATGCCCAGGTCGCCGAGCGCGACCGAGCCATGAAGGTCGGAGGCCTGTTGAAGCCATCGGAGATGGATCAGGAGGATGAGCTATGACTGGACCAAGAACTACGCACCGAGTTTGTTGCTGTCTCTACTGGTTCCCCTGGACATGAGCCAGAATCAAGGTTGACCTCCCAGAATGACAGCCTTGATGGCTGGTCCTTCTACGAGCTCTAGATCATGGGAAGTCATGTGTCGCTGCAACATAGGAGGCTTTGCTCTGGAAAGATGTGTGTGAATTTATCCTTTTATCTTTTCTTTTTTTTATCCACTCCCCCTCCTCTTGGTTGGGCATGCGAGATAAGCCCATTCCCTGGCGCGGGTTCGAGGTTGGTGCATCAGGGCTCTCTACATCGAACGGATTTACCAAGTTTATCCTATGTGTAATTTGCCTATTTAAGGCACGAGCTTGTTTGATAGCTTTTAACGTCAAAATGATCAAAAAATATCTCCAATTCAAAGATGTGAAGTGGACAATTCGTAAGTTTAGAGTAGACCATAAAGACATGTAAAGACATCTAAATAGACCAAGAAAGATATAGACTGCATACGCCGACTACAAATCGGAAGGCGGTGAATCCTTATCAGTTGCATCATCAGAAAAAAAGTACTTTGGAGTCAGTCACCTTCAGACTGATCTTCTGATTCTTTCTTTGATTCTCGAATTCACCTCACTCTATCCCCCATCATGTCTCGAACACGCCAGCCAATGGGCTCAACCTCATTCCAAACCACCACAGAGTCCTCCCAAGACTCAACAGCCCACCTTCCAACCCTCAGATTACGTGCAGAGGCAACACCAACAGAAACAGACACCAGCGAAGCAACATCGTCTTCTCGGCGAATCAGATGGAGTGAAGATGTTGTAGATAACGAGGGCATGGGCAAAAAGAGCTCAAAAGGTATGGAACAATTTTATTTATTTCATCTATTTTATCTATTCGATTTTAACCCCCCCAATTCCTTCCCCCGCAACCAACAACAATCTAACCGTCACCAGTATGCTGCATCTACCACAAAGCCCGACCAGTGGGAGAAAGTAGCTCAGAAGAATCGTCATCCAGCTCATCCGAGAGCGACAGCGAGAGCGAAGACGACCGTCGCACAGCCCGAGTCAACCGGGCTCGCCACACACACTCACACAACGGAAGGCGGGATCCCCACAGCGAGCACGAGCATGCATCAGGGTGTTGTCCCGAAGATCGCAAATCTAAACCGAAACGCACGCGCCGGAAGCCGAGTCCGAATGCATATGAGAAGATGCCCAAGTCATCGAGGAATCAAAATCAAAATCAACATCATGCGCGGGGTACTTGATCTCGCTTTTGAGGGGGTTTTTCTAAGTGGCAAGGACATGAGAGGGAAGGTGGAATTGAGCAAATCTTGGGTTTAGGGCCCGATGCACGGCAATACGAGTCATCCCGTCGCAGGTCGGATCTATGTCTATGCGCGGTGTGTATGACATTTGCACGACGCTGGGATAGATTCCATTCGGTGGGTGGCGTGTAGGAAATTTTTCCAATGATATGATCAAGATTTTAGGGGGGAAGCACATCAGACCCTTGTTATGGCGCGCTAGATGCGATGTGACGATTAAATGGTCATTAAGAACTACATGGCTACTTGGCCTACTCGAAACATGTAGATGGACAAGATAATGAAATTTGGATTGAAAAGATCGGAATCGCAGTGAGGGGGTATCTGAAACATAACTGCAGCCTGGTCTATAATGATTGTACATAGGTGAAGCAAAAGCGGGCTTCATACCATCATGCTTTTTCTCCTTGCGGCAACGCGCTGGCCACGTCTGACATCACTGGTGTCCATTGTAGAACCGTTTGGTCCCGGTCCAAATGAATCTTCATCTTCCGGAGAGCCGATTGGGGATTGAGCTTCAATCTGATCGATGTCGTATTGTGCCATGTTTGCAGCCGTACTGTGGGGGTTTGACGAATGACGTCGCGTCTGACGCTTCGAATTCGATGGTTTTTGTGATACCTGGGCTGAGATATCTGCGAGACTATCCTCAATCTCTTTCTTGAGGCCGGAGCTTGAGTTTCCCGCATTACTGTCGTCCTTCGGGGCCGACGAAACCTTGCGTTTCCTCCGGGAGACCATTGCTAGCAGCTGTTCTGAGCTATCCACCGATGGCAGATCTGAACTCTGCGCCGCAAGAGTGAAATCAGCAGGAAGACGATGATTGGTGCCATGGGGTTGCGTGCCCTCTCCTGTGCCGTCCAAACTGTCCCGGCCTGCCTGGAAACTGGAAGATCTTCGCGATCCAAGTGCAACGGCGTCGATCATTTCCTTGGTAGGGCGGCGCATCTTGTCCCGTAGGTTAGGCTCTGCATAGCTAACCACAGTACCACGACGTCGGGAAGGCCGAATTGAAGACTCTTCCGTGTTCATTGCATTCGGATGCGGTGACAGTGCTGGCTGGTGTGGGGCTGGCTCTTCCAGCTGGGGAGGAGCAGGGCGACTGGCGCGCTTTTCTTTGTTTGCAGGGGCGACTCTGGACACTCGCGGCTTTTGATTGGCAGTCTTGCCACTGAGTTTCTCGACATCCTTGACTTTCTGTGGTGAGTTGTCATTCTCGTCACCCTTAGTGGACCTCTGCATAAGCTTAGAGTCCTGGTACGAAGACATGCGGGCCTTCTTGGGAGAGCCTAGATTGGAGTTTGCACTCTCTATTCCAGTTGTTAGCTACACTCATTGTAGGGGGTAGAACTAGAAGGTAGCACCACATACTTGGTTCTAGGACCTTCCGCATTGACAGGACAGGGGTTTTTGATCCTCTTGTCACTTCAACATGACTTTTAGTGGGTGACTGATCTCGCTGTATATCTTCGAATAGGTTCGTTTTCTTTTTGGGGCTATGGCTGGGCCGTGTGAATTGGAATTCATCATCATCGACATTAAGATTGGACATGAATCGGTCATCATCTTCGGGTATGTATTTGCGTTTCGTTGAAACCGAGGTTGTATGCTGTGTTGTATCGACGGGTGGACTTGGTTGCCGATCTGCTGGCGCGGGGCTAATTTCAGGCGCAAGGATCGAACTCGACTTCTTTTTCTTCTTGCGGGTCTCGAGAGTTGGAGGAAGGAATGGCTCGGGTTCTTCGGGTATATCATCGTTTATTTGGCCCCTGAATGTTGATTCTGGCGATGGACTTGAATGCTCAATGGGTGCATCTCCTTCCTCCGGCATAAAGCTGAACTGTGGCGGAGAACCTAGAATGCTGTGGTCGTCGTTGACCAAGCTGTCGAGCTCTTGGGGGCTAAAGAAGATGTCAGCAACTCGAAGTGGCTCAAAACCCTCCAAGATACTTACTCTAAAGTCCGTCGGGGGTAATATTTGTCCTCAATAATGGCAGGAAGCCTTCCATCTTCGCCGTCCATCATGTCTTCTGTCCTAGGTCTCGACTCTGCCGCCTGCTTTGGCCGATCGATCTGTTCGTCGCAAAGTTTGCCCACCTTGCGAGGCAATGAGCCCAAATCTGCCGCCAGATTGCTCAACTCGGCTAGTTTGGCATCTAGCTTGAATTTGATGTCATATATTCCATTGTGCAGCATTTTCCCTGCTTCCAGTCTTTCGGTTTCCTGTGTAAGGTTGATGACCTGCTTTCGAAGCGACACGTTTTCCGAAAGTAGATGTGATACTTCTGACTCTAGGCTGCGAATACGAAGAGATTGCAAGGAATTTACCCTCGCGATCTCACGGTTTTGTCGCACAAATCGTCGCTTCACTAAATATAAACAAAGTGACCCCACGTCAACTACTAGTTCGAATATTTTTAATACTGTAGTAGATTGTGCGAACTTACAGGCATCAATAGACTCGGCAGGGGCCGCATAGTCGTTCAACCGAGCCATGATGTAGGCTGGGAGGGGGCAGCGACCACTGCGTGATCAAATGGATTGAAAAACAATCCTGGTGTGCAGGTGGAATAAACTTGAAGTTGATATCGAGTCGAGTCCACAGATCACACACCAGGAAATGACTAGGTGTGCGTTGGGGAAGGTGTTGTGTCTTGAGTATATGGGGGTACAAAAACAGAGACAAAGGGTAAACAGCGTCAAATGCCAAGCCCTTGTTGATATTTGTCCGCTTTTGGTTTAGCCTACCCAGTGTTGGATGACTCAGCTTCCCTCCCCACCTGCCGGAGCCCACCTGAGTTGTCCAACAGGTACAATCTTGACTTTGAGAGATCGCGTTCTTTGTACCTGCTTCTTCGCTTCGCTACAAATTTCCCATGGCATACTCCTCCCGACCAACATCGATGCTTCCAGGGGCTTCTGGCTCCTCCCTGCGCCAGCCCAGTGGTTCGCAGTCGCAGCAATCTTCGGCGCTGTCGGCCCGCATTGCTGCCAAAAAGGGCGGAGCTAGAGAACCTGCGACAACTACGCGATCTGAGTGGAACATTGGCGATTCAAATGCAAGCTTTGGATAGTAAGATTTCCACGCTGAAAGATGGCACCGAAGGTTTGGCCTCCCCATCCCTTGATTTTGATTCGGCCTCGCCGGTCGCTAACTGTACCCTCTGTTAATTAGCGGTTGCATACGTGCTTTCCAACTGGGATAATGTTATTAGGGCCATCACCCTCGCCTCTAGTAAGCGCTACTTTTTCTACCCTTGGAATTCGATAACTGATCTTTATTCTGTAATAGGCAAGGCAGGCGGACTCGGCGAACCCGAGTCGGATAGTAAGAATGTGGAGAAACCGCGCAACGACCTGCCATCAACGCTGGTTCGCATTCCAGCTGAGCCACGTGATAAGACTGGGGAGTGAATCAGTGACATGTCTCTCCCTTCGACTCCAGCTGAAACACCCTGAATGGTCTCGTCTTTTGCAGCCTGGATCATTGCAATCTTTGTAGGCACCCCATGCATCCCACCCGATATTTCTCTCTGGGTTATCTCGCCCCAGGTGTTTATCGGGCTACCAGAATTGACGCATGCATTTTGACAATGCACTCGGACCTACTTCCAAGGTTGGCTCCAGTATAACCTATGAGTGACCCCCCAGCAGAAAGACCATCAAAAGAAGAGTCGAATTTTTCGAGATCCAATCATGAGACTTCTAGTGATCTTTCGCCAAAAGGGTGCGATTATGAGAATGAACGAAAACCGATTTCTTGCGTGGCCAGCTGATTCCTATGCAGAGTTTGGCGCATGCAATAAAGATGGTTATCTCGAAATGGCCGACAAATCAAAAGACGGGGATTAAGGAGATCATTTCTTTTTTTTTTTTTTTTTTTTTTTTCCCCTCCGTTCTAGTTTCTTTTGAAACTTCTGCACTACTGCAAAGACAATCATTGGTACAGGAATAGCTGCATTGCAAGAATATGACTGGATGTCTGAGTGATGATGTGATTGGCGCATGATAGAGTGTGTAGCTCAGTATGTACACTAGGTACGTTAGGTACGTTAGGTACACTATATATACACTACATTAAATGGGTCATAGTTACAAATTAATAGAAACTAGGTTTATTTTTCAGGCATCATGGGACCAGGGGAAGAGCTGAATGGCGCTATGATGCCCTGAGGAAAACTCTCTTATTACCAGTTCGAGGTTCCTGCAGATAGGGGGGGCGAACAGACTCTTAGGCCTATTTAGGTACAGATGTGTGCCTATATATGTTATTTGGTTAGTAGTTAAGTATATAGTGAGGTATATATATGTACCTGAATACCTAGATTTGAAGTACTATTAGTTGATGTGTATATACAATATATAGCGTGATAACCATTTCGGTACCTATATCACAAGTATCGCAAGTATCTTAATACCTCATTGATACCTCATCAATACCTCGTATATCGCTCATTTCTTTTTTTTAAGCGCCCCAAGCACAACAAAATGCCAACGCCCCCTCTTTTCTTCTTCTACAACGTGGACTTCGATTCGACATGCGCCATATTTCCCCGCAATAGCCGTGGAATTTTGTACCTACATATGAATTTATTCTTTTATTCTTTTTTTTATTTCTTCTATTTCTCTTTTTTTTGGTTTAAGAGAAACGGAGTACCCTGTTGCCCATTCCATTGCGTGGTATGGCATGATCGCTGTGTGACACTTCAACAATGTCAGTATTATGAGGTGATCTTTAGTCTTTACTTTTTACTTAACTTGACTTCACTCCTTGGCTTTTGAGCTTTGATCTTTGATCTTTCTCTTTTCTTCTATAATATCCTTCTATCTCTAAATCTCTCAACCTTACCTTTCGACATCACCTCCCAACCTCAATCTACTACCATTACCATCATTACTATCATTACCCTACCTAAACCCAACACTCCTGCTCTTACATTTACCATGTCGACTGAATGGTCTTTGGACTTCTGCCTGGTCTGTGACCGTCAAACCCAGGGCGCTCCCTACTGCTCCCAAACATGCCGCTTAGCGGAGCTGGATGACATATCGGAAGGAATGTCACGAAGATCGAGTGCATCATCTACACATTGGTCTGAAATCAATCAGGCCCAAGCACAAGCCGAAGCCAATACCCCAGACGCCCATAATCCATCTCGAATCCTATCTGTCTCCTCATCTCAAACCTCCCTCTCTTCGCTGAAGAGCAACGCATCCAATTCCAATGTGGCCGATCGGCTCCAGGATGAATTGCGTGATTATGCGTCTTCTTTCGACCAAGTCCGCGACCTGAAACGGCGCATGACTACCACATAATTTCAATTCGAACTCGAACTCGAACTCAGACTCGAAAACTGGTTCTCGAACCCCATCCCCACATCTGGATGAGGCCGAGGGTACCCAAATGCATGCAGCCCCTCATGCTGTTTTTTGATACTTTTGCATATCCTGGAAATAAGGCGTCATTGTTGGAAAAGATAAACCATTTTCTTTTTTTTTTTTTGTTTTCTTTTTTTTACTGCCTTTCTGTTTTTTCTTGTGGATCAACCCTACCCTACTTGGTCTTTCTCACGAACCTATACCCCCCAACTGTTATGTTTTTATATCATGATCATCGGAGTTGGAATCCAGGCCCAAGTGCCTCATCTAATTATGTATCTAACCAGACTGCCCATAATCAAAATTGGAAATTTGGATGATATATATGTGTATATCATATATATATATATACATATTTTGTTTTTTAAAAAAAGAAATACCTTCATGTTCTGAGTAGAATCACGCCCAAACCTCCATTTGGGTAATGTTAAGTGTTTCATGTCAATTTCCCACGTCAGTCCAAGGTGGGTACCCTGAGGAATGTGTCCGACGTTAACCGTCCAACGGGGAATGCGAGATATATCAACTAGAACACTCGAACCCATCGACAACAAAGCCATATGGAACCAGCAATCGGAGATGCAAGCGCAAGCAGCTCTAGCCCAAATCCACAAGATACCCCTCGAACATCGCTCGACCGGATTTGGCTCGATGCAGAAGCAAGTCCCTTCCCGCCCAACTTGATACCAAAGACCAAATGGATGGCCATTCACTTCGCAAGGACCTTGGACAGAGCCTTTTCATTCTTCGGCACAAATCGGACCTTATATTTTTGAGGAATGGCCACCAAACTGGTTGGATCCGAGTTACCCCGGAGAGGGTGGCAATCTGTCTTGTCATGGGGTTCAAGACGGAAGCTGTTGAGGGTGCGGATGAAGACGAGGTAAAGCTCACGATTGGCTAGCAGTGAGCCGGCGCACATTCGGTAGCCCATACCGTACGTAAAGAGAGGCGCATCAGGCTGCTCGAGCCAGCGCTCGGGGCGGAACTCATCCGGGTCAGTCCACACCTCGGGGTCTATGAAGGGTTAGATGTGTTTATGTTGTATATCAAAAATTTGGATTGACTCACCCATGTTGCATGCCCAGGCATTCAAAAAGAACACTGTACCCTTGGGAATGGTGATTCCCTTATAGGTGATATCCTTGATCGAGGTGCGAGGAAGCGCTAATCGCAGCACAGTGAAGAATCTAGGGTATTGTGGTTAGTTCAAAAAAGTCCTTTCATGGCTCGTTGGCATGAAACCAAAAAACATACCGAAGACATTCTCTGACCAGAGCTGCAATATACGCACACTTCTGATCATCATCGGCGGAGCACATGGGCTCATCCTGGCCATACATTTCCTGGATGGCCTTAGCCGCCCGATTCTGGATATCAGGACGCTGGGCCAGCAAATTGAGACTCCATGCAACCAAAGTGGTGACAGTATCAAGACCACCAGAAAGCATCGTCAGACTAATCGATGTCAACTCCTCCTTATTCAGCTTAGCCTCCTTATCCATGATAACGTTCGCCTGGATACAAGGCTTATGTGTCCCCCTTTGCCATGCGATCATCCAAGTCACTATTAAGCGCACCGAGATACTTATCGCGACGGATTCTCATCTCGGCCGCTTTCTTAGAGTTGGAGCTAAACGGGTTCAACCGCAGAAGAGGAATATAATCCTGCAGATTTCCAGTGGTGCTTCGGAACCGACTGATTTCTTCCTCCACCTCGGTGATCTCATCAAACAAGTCCTCTTCCTGTGAGGCAATACGCACACCCCAGTTCAGAGTCAACGCCAAACTCAAGCTCAGACGTTGGATCATGGGCATGGGGTCGACGGGTGTCTTTCCATGGTTTCCATATCTGTTCAGCTCTTCCACAAAGGCCTTTGACTCGACGTCTAGGTGCGAGACGTACGTATCGACAGAGGGGCGGTTGAGAGCTGAGGCGGCGCCCTTTCTGCGTCTCTTCAAGGAATCACTATAGGGTGAGGTACCGATTGTTGTTCCGGCTGTATTGGAAACAATCTAAGCGAGTTGATCATCAGTTTCGATTTCCCCCAAAAGAAAAAAAAAAAAAAAAAGGCCAAAAGCCAACACATGGCACAACTCCGATGACCAACCTTATGGAAAGTATAAGTCTCAGGCCTTGAGCTCAAGGCTTGCGCATTCTGACTGAAAAGCACTTTTGCGGATGCAGCTGAGTTGACGACGACGACTGGGATGTTCCCCAGCTGGATCTGATAAACGGCGCCATACTGTTTCGACCACAGACGATACTTTTCCGCGGCATCTGTGCGGATCTGCGCAAGGTTTCCAATCAAGGGGAGTCCCCGCGGACCCTTCATACCCTTGACGCGGGCGGCATCACGAATGAACTCATTCAGGATGACATAGAGAATAGGGACGAGGAGGGTTGCGGCGGCTAGCGAGTGGTAGGGATACTCAATCACGCTGCCTTGTAGCGATGCCAGGGCAGCGGCGATAGCCATGGTGTTGGATAGGTATGGGATAGACTGTGTGTCTTGGAAAGAACTATACAAACCTAGTCATGAATATATCATAGAAAAATGTAAACCTATCAGGACTGGGGGATATATAAGTATATTAGGAGTATCACAGCCCTAGGAAAAAGGTATCAGGGCTTCCACTGAATGGAACATTTCCGTGATGTCAAGGTCGTTCAAGCCGCGATCTTCTCCCGGCGTCCTTTTTTTTACCCCACACTACCCCAGGTCTTACCAGGTCTTGTCCAGTTCTCTGCGAATATGCGATGGTGCTCAACCGAGGATGTTCCGCATTGCGGAATTCTTCCGCCTGGCAAGTCCGCAGGGGGTATGCTTTGTAGTTGCATTGGTCTTATACATATAGTTACTCCGTTTATATATATATAACTATATCTATAATAGTTAGTATCAAGCTGTTTTCATGTTGTTGGGATGGATTTGAACATCATTTTTGTGGTTTTATATTGTGTTTTTATCAGAGGTTCACTTTGCCCTTCTGTGATATTTTAGTTTTCGATATATTTTATACATATTTTATATATGTCTTTTTTTTCTTCTCAAATTCATCTGTCACATTAGTGTTCATGGCCTTGAGATTTGGGTTCAACTTGGCGTAAATGTCTTTAGAGATATAAATACGCCTATCCATTGAGTAGGTTTGGGATACTCAAACCAACAACAGGGGGTATTTATGCCAGATTTTTCATTTTTCAAGGGGCACTTCTCTGAAGTATTCACCGGAAGACCTTTAGTTTTTGAATAGTACTTGTATAGTTGTTTTTAGTCTGATATGATTGAGAACGCCTGGGCACCTGGGCACGCTATTGCTGAATAAGGGGCTAGTGAAGATCATATCCACTCGCGCAAGGACTTCTTTTTTTTTAAGACCTTCTAGAAAGAAGAGCCTCATTCGACCAAATTTTCCCGATGTATTTCATCACCGGATGACTTCAGATTTTCAAGGTCTGGTCTAAAACCAGAGATGATGACATTCCTGAGCAAAACCGGAATCCAAAGGGATTGGCATAGTGGGGCCAATGATAAAAGATATCAAGGATAAGGTACGTTGTGCACAGGGGGAGAATTGAACAATTCCAGCAAGTGGAGTAGATCCAAACAAGGTGTTCATAACGGGGGGCCCCTGGGCTCCGTGGGCCGGGACGGGGCGATATGGCAGTCCGTGACTGGTCAATGAACATGGAGCTGGCAGTCAGGTGGCCACGAAGAGATTGATCGAGTCCAGACCCTTTGAGGTAGATCTGCACCGGAGATAAAAAAAAAAGTGCGTCGGGCATGGACTAGTTAAACGGATGCAGAGTCGGCTTCCCGACAATTGTTTATATCTGAATACATTGGTAATCCCTGAATACCCAGTGATATACCTTCCCCCTTGGGGAGCTTGGGAGAGGAAGTTGAGAGTTGGGAAGACCGAGGTCCAGATGGAATTCAAAGGAAATTTTCTTCGCGTCATGTGTCGGAGTAGAGACCCGGACGGAGTTCCCACTATATCGAGCCAATTGTGAGAAATAAGAAAAAACAAGAGGCGCACATTATGGGACATTATGGGACGTAGCCCCATCTCCACTGCCAAGGTTGCTCCAATGGTGAGCTGCCGTGCTCCCATGACGCAGAGCTCTGTCTGTACTCGTGACACCCCTGTATTCATAGTGGAAGGTGTAGCGATCAAGTATCGGATACTGTGTACCTTGTTGTACATTGAAGATTGTCGCAAATCTTGCCTTTCATAGATTTTTGGTGTTATTGCCAAGTTGAAAGGAAAAATAAAAATAAAAGAAAAGGGAAACGGGAAATTCCCCATAGCTAGTGACTTACCTTTTAGGTCTTCCCGCCTCCCTCTCTCTCTCTCGCCTCCAGTATCCTTCTCTTCTCAACTTCTCTCTCCATATCTCCCTCTCTCTTCTTCTTCTTCTCCTCCAATCCTCCAATCCTTATTTCGGGCACATATTCTTATTAAGAATCCCGAATCCCGGCATATTTGAACATTTAAAACACATTACATCACCGTACATTCGGAACACCGCAGATAATGGCCGCTCGGCACTCGCGCAAACTCTTGAGACCTCTCCTTTACACATCCGCGGCCGCCGCCGCAGGAGCAGGTGTTCTCTACATTTCTTACCGTCCGCGAAATATTCCGGGCCTCGAAGCCCCCGCCGTTCCCCCGCCAGGTTACCGTGAAGGCAAATTGGTCCCACCCAGTTTCCCCTCAATCAAGTCTCGCCTCGAGCAGATTGAGGACCTTAAGCGCAGTAACGACGAGGAGGAATATGATCTGCTTATCATTGGTGGTGGAGCTACTGGAGCCGGTATCGCACTAGATGCCGCCACCCGAGGCCTGAAGGTCGCGGTGGTGGAGAGAGATGATTTCAGTTCCGGAACCAGTAGTAAGAGTACCAAGCTGGTACACGGTGGTGTCCGTTACCTGGAAAAGGCTGTTTGGGAGTTGGATTACAACCAGTGAGTTTTTCCGGGAACCCGTTTCCTTGTTGGAGGTCAAAATGACCGCATACCAGCGCATCCTTGCTAACAATCGCATCGCAGGTATGCGCTAGTTAAGGAGGCTCTCAGAGAGCGCAAGTACTTCCTGAACACAGCTCCCCATCTGTCATCATGGCTGCCAATTATGGTGCCTGTTCAGAAATGGTGGCAGGCTCCCTATTTCTGGGCTGGTACCAAGGCCTATGACTTCTTGGCTGGTTCCGAGGGCATTGAGACCTCGTACTTCCTGACCAAGAGTAAGGCCATTGACGCATTCCCCATGTTGAAGCGTGACAACATCATTGGAGCAATGGTGTACTATGGTAAGTTACGGATCCGCATTCCGCAAAGAAATTATTTGGGCTAATTCCAGACAAGATGGTGCACACAACGACTCCCGCATGAACGTCTCCCTCGCCATGACCGCTGCGCTCTACGGTACCACCGTGGTGAACCACTTGGAGGTCACCGGACTGAACAAGGATGCCAACGGCAAGCTGTGCGGTGCGCGCGCCAAGGACATCGTCACAGAGAAGGATGGCCAGGTCGCCAAGGAGTTCAACATTCGCGCCAAGGGTATCATCAACGCCACTGGTCCCTTCTCGGATTCTATCCGCAAGATGGATGAGCCTAATGTCAAGGAGATTGTGGCCCCTAGTGCTGGTGTTCACATCATCCTGCCTGGTTACTTCAGTCCCTCAAACATGGGTCTCATTGACCCTTCCACATCGGATGGACGTGTGATCTTCTTCCTGCCATGGCAGGGTAACACCATCGCTGGTACCACCGACCAGCCCTGTGAGATTGAGGCCCAGCCTCAGCCCACTGAGAAGGACATCAACTGGATCCTTTCGGAGATTCGTGGCTACATCGCCCCCGATATCACCGTGGACCGAAGCGATGTTCTTGCTGCCTGGTCTGGTATCCGTCCCTTGGTGCGCGATCCCAAGGTGAAGAACTCGGAGGCTCTCGTCCGCAACCACTTGGTGACTGTCTCTCAGTCTGGACTGTTGACTTGCGCCGGTGGTAAGTGGACTACTTACCGCCAGATGGCCGAGGAGGCCGTGGATGAGGCGGTCAAAGTGTTCAAGCTCAAGCCCCGCCAGCTCACCAGTCTTCCTGACATCAGTGGTGTCGGCGGCAGTGGTTTGGTTGCTGACGGTGCCGTTCTCGACGGTAGCTGCCAGACCCACCAGGTGCGCCTGATCGGTGCCCACGGTTTCTCCAAGACTCTCTTCATCAACCTTATCCAGCACTTCGGTCTCGAGACCGACGTGGCCAAGCACCTCACTGAGTCGTACGGTGACCGCGCATGGCAGGTCGCTGCTTTGTCTTCCCCTACTAGCGAACGTTTCCCCGTGCGCGGCTGCCGCATCTCCCCCATGTACCCCTTCATCGATGGTGAGGTCCGCTACGCCGTCCGTCACGAGTATGCCCAGACTGCTGTCGATGTGATTGCCCGTCGCACCCGTCTTGCTTTCCTGAACGCCGAGGCCGCTCTCGAGGCCCTCCCCACCGTGATTGACATGATGGGTGAGGAGTTGAAGTGGACCACTGCCCGCAAGGACCTCGAGTGGAAGGATTCCTTGACTTACCTTTCGTCCATGGGTCTGCCTAAGAGCTTCATGGGCCTTTCCCGTCATGAGGTCCAGAACGGCCGTGTTAAGCAAGTCGATGATGCCGAGCGTGCGACTTTCTCTCGTAATGGTATGTTTTTGAAACCTCCCAACAACCCAATGAACCACAGTGCTGACCATCCTAGAACCTCCTGCGGACATGATTGAGAGCGACGTGCGTGCTACTACTGCAGCTCCTGCAGCAACAACACCCTCGCTCAACTAGATGACGTGTGGTATATATAGATCGGGCTTGTATAAATAGAAGCGTTCCTTTTTTTATTTCCTTTTTTGTTCCAATATTGATTTCCTGTCATTAACACTTAAAACAGGGACTGGGGGAAAACAAAAAGACCCCCAAAACCCTCTAAAATGACACTTTCCAAAAATGACACCCATTCACATTCGGAAGGTGCCATCCCCGAACTTACTAGTAGTCCTCAATCCCTTCAATCTCTCTTCGATCCCTTTAATCCCGTCATTTCAATTCCTTTGCATTTTGTCAACCATCACACATAATGATGCCCAATCAGTCTGATGTTGATATTCAATCGCTGAGTTTTGTGAAGCACAAGTTGGATTCGGATAAAGAGTCCGCCTCACCAAAGCCAGAGTTGGAGGAACAGGATCCCTTTGGAGATGAAAGCCAAGTTGGCGTCAAGTACAAGACCATGGCGTGGTGGTGAGTGTCTCTTTCTTCCCACGGCTAGGGCAAAGCTGATCCTTTTAACAGGCAAGCCGGCATGAGTAAGTCTATGTCTTGCATATTCCTCAACTTTCTCTAACAGATCCGGTCAGTCATGATCGCAGAAACCATCTCACTTGGTATTCTCGCGCTGCCCAAAGCGCTTGCGGTACTAGGTCTTATTCCGTACAATCTCCTCCCCGTTGACTGCAAAGGCCGAGCTAACCTACTTATCCAGCGGCATCCTAACCATCTTTGTGGTTGGGACAATCTCGACGTATACTGCATATACCATTGGGCAATTCAAATGCCGCCATGTCCAGGTACACAGCATGGCTGATGCTGGTGATCTTCTGATGGGAAGGATCGGACGGAGTACACTGGACGTGGCCCAGCTCATATTTTTTGTGTTGGTGATGGGGAGCCATATCCTCACTTTTTCGATTATGATGAACGTCCTTACTGAACATTCCTCTTGCACCATCATCTTTTCAGTTGTAGGTTTACTTGCCTCGTTCATATTGACTCTCCCACGGCGACTGGAGAGACTTTCTCACCTCTCCTCCGTCAGTTTTGTGAGTATTGTCGGAGCGGTTCTCACTGGTATGATTGGGGTCACCCTTGTCAAACAAGGACCAGTGCATGTCCCGGCCTTTTCTCCTCCGCCCAAAGTGCATGATGCGTGTCTTGCTATTGCAAATATCATCTTTGCGTACGCAGGACATGTTGCGTTCTTTACCCTTTTCTCTGAGCTCAAGGAGCTCCAGGATTTCCCCAAGGCTCTGGCGCTTTTGCAGATGAGTGAAATGGTCTTGTATACCGTGGCCGCTATTGTGATATACGCCTATATTGGACCGACTGTCAACTCACCTGCTCTCAATTCTGCGGGGCAGTTATTTCGCAAGATTGCCTATGCAATCGCAATACCCACGGTACGTACCTGCTCCCCCCGTGGACTTCTTCGGATATGAGCTGACCACTGGGTAGATTGTGATCGGGGGTGTGGTGAATGCCCATGTTGCCGTCAAGTTCATTTACGTCCGTGTCTTCCGGGGAACCAATTCGATGCATAGCCAGTCACTTATGGCGCGGTTGGTGTGGGCTGCGATATGTGCGGTGCTTTGGATCTTGTCGTGGATCATCGCCGAGGGGATACCGGTTTTCAACGATGTACTAGGGCTTGCGGTGTGTACTACCTATCCCGACCCTGATCCCAACCTGAAACGAGCACTAATCATTCATATTAGAGCTCGTTATTTGCTAGTTGGTTTTCATTTGGTCTACCTGGGCTATTTTGGCTCTATTTGAACCGGAGTTGTTGGTTCCTAACCAGGCGACAGAGGGTGTTGTTTTGTTTCAATATCTTCCTAGTGTTTCTTGGATTTCTCATTGTAAGTTACGTTCCACTGTGATTCGCCGGTGCAGATTAACTTACACCACCAGTGCATTGTCGGACTATATTCGTCCATTCGGTCGATCTTTCACAACCTTCGCGAGAGTGTTGGGGGAGGCAGCTTCTCATGTGCTGACAACTCTCTTTACTGAGACGGCCTCAGATCCACAAAGGAATTGATTCGGGGAGGGGGAAATGGGCAATTACAATTGGGGCACAGTATTATCGTGGTTGCAAGTACGAGGATACGAGGAACATAAGACGCAGAGAACTATCCAGCTGCATTGTATAAGAATAAATTGAGTTCTCCTGCACCATTTGACCAATGGAGACGACATGCAAGTATCCGGGACTCTGCAGCAGCTACCTTTTAGCCAAGTGGATATGTTGCCAGATACCACAAGAGATCCTTGTCCTCCCAGAGCAAAGTGTAGTCTCAGGGATTCCACGGAAGACAAATGACACTTTCTTTTTTGGACAAGGGTGATTGCTGCGGAGAAAGAATAAGATTAGACTTCACTCGTCCAATTGACCTTTTAGGGGGGTCAAGTCATACCATACCCTGACCTCAGGACGTTGGGTGATACAGTACAATAGTCCCCAGGTAGTATGTTGTAGTTAAGTTCTTATATTGCCTCGGGGGGTTGATTTCACGTGACCAGTTCATAAATCACGGCGATATAGCATTGTTATATCTGCATATAATCAATACAATCGATTTAGGCCTTTGGGCCTAGGTCAAGTCCGGGACTCCATTCTATAGTAAAAAAAAGCAAAGAGGTGGCTCTAATTGGGGAAATTGGCCGAGATGATGTATGTGGATGCTACATAAAAAGACACTAACAGTACGTGGCTTATACGCACTAATGAATGACTCGCAGGGTAACGGGGGTTAGTGGCCTCGGGGAATTGGCTGCAGCTAGTAAGGTCACATACCCGTTGGTAGCACTATCTCGGACTAAATTAATATACGAATATAGATGGCTAAGAAAGAACATAAAGAAATTAATAAAAAAGAGAAACTCAAAACAAAACCAAACAATTAAACCAAAAGTCTAAGAAGCGGGGATATATGGCAAATCCCGTAGCTAACTGTAATATAGTTATGTAGTATTCCGTGATCCGTACTATATACATATCTACAGAATTATACACTCTACATATGTAGAATATCCATCCGCCTTCTGATAAATGATTCCCATTAAATTATATTTTTAGCACCATATATTGGGTTCCCCTCTTTTTTTTATTTGCGTAGAAGCCCGACGCATGTATTGTGTCCCAATCAAGACAGGGATCAAGACCAACCCACACTTATTCCCTGTACACCAAAGGCAAAAAAGGGCGAGGGAAAAAAAAAAGTGTGGAACGGACAACAGCAAGGCATACATGCATGTTATCACCACACCATTTCCCCTACAACCGGGGAAAAGGGTGTGGACCAGGTAACCCGGACCTTTTGCTGGAATTTGTTGTATATTCCAAGTCACTTGGGACTCGCTCCAATCCCAGAGATCCCCCTCCGAAGCAAATCCCGAGTCGTTCTTTTGCCTTATGCATAGACCGTAGAACAACCGTGTTGATCTTCGTGCAGATTTCACGTGGGAAATTGAAGCGGTATATCCCGGGATCTCTGATTCTGGTTTTTGGTTCTAGTCTCCGGTTCAAAGCTGGGACGGGGGGTGCCATGGGATATACCGATCCCGGTACCAGTAACCAAGTACCATGCAAGTAGCATGAGATAGGAGGATAGTAATGGAACCTCCCCCGCGCCGCGATGCACAGGACATTGGGCACCTTCAAAACCCACACTCCCTGTATGGCAAAAGTTCCAGAGACATCATGTGGAAAGCCCGGAAAAAAGAAAATGGGGCCCCCTCTCGGCTAGTGCAAAACGTGTACCGATAAACAGGCAATTCAAGCGTAGCTAGTTGGCCACGCCATCGCAATTCGTGGCTCCTTGGTAATTGTTCCAGAAACGGGCCACGGCTCTCTGGGCGACGGGCGAGCCACGGTATCGTGTAGTGAGGAAGTAATTAAAGAGTGCGAATTCGTCTGGTGTGAGCACATAGCTATCTGGTTGGGCCTGAATGCGATTCCAGAGTTCGGTAATGGCTGCTTCCAGGACGGCGGCGGATTGGGCATTCACAGGACCATCTTCGCATTCCCGAGCGTGTTCTAAGGCCTGTCGAATCTCCGGCCAGCTTCTAGATAGAGGAAGGTTGGACATATCGTCGGAGAGGGGTGTTTAGGTGTTCAGATGAGGAGGGATGCTGTGTTTGAAAGTTGTTGAGGGAGTTTTTTTCAAGATGGGAGTGTTTGGGGAGTGGGGGAACTTGGGAAGAAATGGGAAGATGTGCGCCGTGAAGGGCTCGACCGAAGCGAAAAGGGTTTCAGGCCAAGTAGAATGCGGAAGAGATGAGACTGTGCATAAGGCCAAAACAAGAAAATCCGATTATGTTTTTTTTTTTTTTTTTTTTTTTTTCGATAATTAAATAGGAACCAAGTGTGGAGCAACGGGAGAGGGAGAGGGGAAAAAACCGGGCCAGTCCCGAAATACTATGTTCATAAGTGTGACATGCAATGGAAAGGTAAATGCAAGAATTAGTTGGACCTATAGGCTGTGGGACGTTCAGGAACTAGGTCGGACTTCACACCGAAATTGGAGGTAACGGATAGTCCAAAGTATTCCGTCTATGGATCTCCGTTGCTCCAAAGGTAGAAAGTTGAAATGGGACCACACTCCAATGGGGAGACATCCTGGGAAGACACATAATCCATAAGGCCACAAGGATGTAGTTTGCATGAGATGGGCTCGGGATTGCGCCGCGGTCCCTTGGCGTAACGGTTTTCTCGGGCAATTTTAATGACATGCTCCGGCTAGCATCGAACTAAGCCGTCTTGGACCCAGATGAGACGGTGGAGCCGGTGGAAAACGGTGGAAACCGTTCTGAACGTTAGTGATGATTCGTCGATGAGTTATAGGGTTCAAGGGGTCAGGATCGCTTAAAGCCGTCGACTATGAGGACCAATTGGGGTTGGAGGAAAAAGGGGGGAAGATATTAATGGCGCCAGAGCAATATCCGGTGCATCAGTTAAGTGGAACCCCGGTCTGGTCCTTGCGGTCCTTCGCGGTCCTTGCGGTCCTTGCGGTTTGAGGCTCGTGGGACTTGGGATTCCCCGAAACATTCCAATCATTGGCGAGTTCAATATAAACACTGCGTTAGCGTGTTCCTTTTCTAGCCCAATCTTCCCACTTACACATTTATCCTTTTTGAATTTATCCAATTGGTGAAATAGTTTCGGCCGGTGATCTCTCTTTCGGTCATTTTGGGCACGATGCTTGCCATGCTTGCCGACATGCGACATGGATATATACTGATCTCCGAGACATCACACATGTCCTTTCGGGAGAAGTTAACTGATCTCAGGGGTTCGTCCGAAACCAAAACGCCGCGGAAGATCAAAATTGTCGGGTACCCTTTCCGATGCAGCCCAGTCACATAATCACATTCTGAATTTGAATCCATCCCGAGGTCACATTCGGTTCAATTTCTTTTTTTCTTTTTTTTTTTTTTTTTTCTTTCAATTTAATTTCTTTTTTCTCTCTCTCTCGTTGTCTTTACCCCTTTCGACAAGAGGTAACGTGTCGACATAAAATAACGCATCTCATGCGTTCTGGCAAGTACACATGCCATTGTTTTGGGTGCAATGTGAATCAGGCCCTTCAATATGATCTCGTTTTCTCGAATATGCCGCACTTGATGGATATCATGGATATCACGCATATTGTGGGGAACAATATCCCAAACAAGCCCTCTCAGCAGGGCATCGAGTTTGGAAGGCGATTGACCAAAACATAGCCAATGTTTCCAAAGTATTTCAACTCCAGCTCAGATATGCTCTTCTGGAGAGTACTTCGAGGGTGTTCTTCGGAGAGTCCAGAGAGAGAAGTGCAGGGACAAAAAGAAAAGAAAAAAAGGTGGGATGTGCCTGGGATGTGCCTGGAACGCCGGTCCGCACAAAGCCCAACTCTAAAAAGGAACCTTCCGATTTCACCCTTCATCCTCCTCAAGCAACTTCCCTCCTAGCACATTGCTCACTTTGCTTCCTATATACTCCCCAGGTCAGCACTGCCAAAGAACTTTACCACACAGTGGGTTCTAGAGAAGAACGGCAATTCATGAGGCCTCGACGAGGAGCAAGAACGATGCCCGATAGAAAGTACCTACTATAGTAGAGGGATCAGGGCATGTTCCCGGTCTTGACCGCATAGTATCATGAGGTCACAGAGTTTCTTGAACTCTGCTACAACTGCATCGGTGTTTGAAGTCGTTTCAGGTGTTAAATTTTGACCTTGTTCATTAATACCAAACACAATAGGACCCCAAGATCTGCGACCCCCACTGACGAGAAGCGAGCTTGGATTGCACTCGAACTTCTCCGTGAAATGTAACAATCGTGCCACATACTGCATCAAATGCAGATTGGAAGTCGTTTCATACAGGTATCTGCGAGGGAAGAAGCCTCCCAAATGGTGGAAAAACATCGTCCGAACTAAAACAATCTGCACAATGCGGTACTTCGTGAAGATGTGGCACAGCTTCTGTAAGCTGTCATTTTGGAATAGGGCCCGAGCAGCATCCCAATCACTAACCCGCCTGGGATGGTGAAAGAGATCCCATGGCTGTGAACCCTGAGCCAATCTCAACTGATCTTTTAGACAGGATTGGGAACGTGCTTCTTCTGAGTCAGTGATGGTATACATTGCCTTACCACGGCCTGACTATTCGTTTGTCCGTTGGGATCTCTTCCCAAACCAGTGTGTTAGCCCGGAACAACTTTCGTTGACTGAGAGGATGATACCGACATGGTGTACAATGGAATTATTGATCAATTGGGCCAATTGATTCTTTCAATATCATTTGTTCTGTATTCAATAGCTCAAGTCTAGCTTTGCTTTTACTTGTTGCTGCTTGAATCTCCCGATGAACAACTCCCGGGCTATTTCTTACATACCAATATCTATATTCTTACATCAATTGTAAAGCCTCACACTTTTGCTCATTCTGCTCCGTATGTTTCGCCGTTCTATTGCATACTCAGTCTCCTGCTCTTACTTCTTATACAACAATAACTACAGCTTTAATTCCCGGATGCAGGCGTCTCTACATAATATCAGCGTAAAATCCCAAGCTCAATTGATTTGACCAGAAACCAGCGATAAGAATTTCACAAGTTGATATGTATATGTCGACCTCGCCAGGCCCAATCGACCTCTGGGCTTCGAGATCTATACTGCTGACTAAGCTATACGATACCGAGATAAAGATTCCCCCCACCAGCGCCATTTCAACTTTTGACCTGCGCCGATCATTGTTCGAACCCGATCTGCCTCAAGGTCCTTTGAAAGAAAAGAAGAAGAATTGGATACTGTCACCATGGTTTTCTATTTCACATCGAATGTGGTCGAACCTTCCGCCTTCATTTATGTCGGCAAGGACAAATTCGAGAGTATGCCTCCGATTTGGTCAACCCAGGGAATAAACTTGTTAACAATGGTGTGTTAGACGAGGATCTCATAAAATATGGATTGGACAATGATGTCTGGTATGTTTCCCGGTATACATTTGTAGAATTTTGGGACTGATATTCTTGCGCAACAGGGTCAGTCTCTCCCCCTCCGACTTGCGATAGCGGCAATTGCCCTAATACTTCTATACACTTGCAGTTCCACGTCGACAATTTGTCAAGTGCACACGTCTACGTGCGCCTTCGAGAAGGTGAAACATGGGATAACATCGCCCAACCGCTGCTAGAGGATTGCGCCCAACTCACAAAGGCGAACTCCATTGAAGGTCAGTCCCCGATGTGAACCCAAATATTTCATACTGGTGGAGACTGACTTCTGGAAAGGTAACAAGAAGGACAACATCACTGTCATCTACACACCATGGTCAAACCTGAAGAAAGACGGGTCAATGGCAGCCGGCCAAGTCACATTCCATAATCACAAGCTGGTCCGCAAGGTCTATGTGAAGCAGCGTGAAAACCCAATCGTCAACCGGTTGAACAAGACCCGAGTCGAGAAATACCCCGATCTCCGAGCCGAGAAGGAAGAGGACACGAAGAAGAAGCAGCGCAGTGACCGCAAGGCCCGAGATGAACAGCGTGCGAAGGAAAAGAAGAAGCAGCAAGAGTATGAACAACTCAAGTGGCAGAAAGATCATGCATATGACGATATGTTCACGGAGGAGAACATGGAAGCCAGCAACAACCAGGATCGTGATGAGGATTTCCTTGACGATTTCATGTGATGAGCATTGTTGTCTTTTCTAATGGAAGATAACCTTTTCCTGTGTGTTACCTTTAAGCCCCCAGCGAAGTGAAAATTATACCCTCTACATACTACATACTACATAGCACATACCACGGGGGACAATTGATATGAGTACGACAAAATAGTCCTACTCTTCTCCCTCTTGATACCCTTTTGATTTGTTTAGGTCATGTATGATGAGATATAGTGGGATAGACAAAGGGCTTCACTAACCCCCCGAAGTCCTACGTCATCTCAGAAGAATCCTAGGGTTCCTTCCCAATCGACAACATACACCATCCCCCTTGGCATACTATGGGGGGGGACAACAAGCTTGTAGCGAATCATATACGTACGTAAGTACAAAACGACAAAAGATTCAAAAATAGCAAGGTAGATACAGGCTAAATAAATACATCAAATTGAAAGTTTTTAAAAAAAAAAGGACAAGCCTGTGGAATGGAAGTTGATAGATTAATCATCTAAGCATAGCCCTGGAGGGCGGAAAGGGCGCTAACCCCCGGCCGCATGTTGACAGCTTGTAACCTTAGGAATTCATCATCTTCCTCCCCCAAGGTCTTTTCAAACACCACACAGCATGAGCGAAGGAATTCCACCGTCTGCTACCCCAAGTAAGGGCATCCCCTTTGTGAATTGGAACCCACTGACCCCGCAAAGGCGCAAAGTCCAAGAAGAACAAGAAGAAGGCCGCAAAAGCCAAAGCCGACTCCAAGGCCGATGAGCAACCAGATGATGTGCCCGCCGATCACAATGACACTGATGTATGTGATGAACTTCTCTCCCTGATTGTTATTGCACCTTTGCTGACACCTCATAAGAACGAATCCCATGATGCCAACGTGGACCCCATACAAGAGCCAGAATCCAATGGCGCCAAGCCCGACACAATAGATGGTAGTTTACCAGATCGGTCTGCAAATAAGCAGGAGCCCGTAGCTACTGGTGATGCCCCCTCAGGAACCGATATCCAGTCCGACCCCGCTTCCGATGGCACCGAGCCAAAGGACCGATTCGATGCACTTGTTCGAGATCGCGACTCGTTGCGCGCCGAAGTAGCTGACATGCGAAAATCATTGGAAGAGATTCAGTCCAAGCATACCGCAGACATGGAAGCCCTGCAGCAGAAATTGGATGATGCGGAGAGCAAAAAGGAGCAGGCGGAAACGCAGTTCCAGATGCTCCTGGAACGAGTCAACACCATCAAATCGCAACTAGGGGAGCGCCTCAAGGAGGATGCGGTGCGTGGACTAGAATTCACTACTTGGGGATATTTGGCTAATCTTGCTTGCCATATAGGAGGAATTGTCTCTAGCGCGATCACAGATCGAAGACCTTGAAGACGAGAACAACAACTTGAAGGAAGAGCTTGATTCAAAATCCGCCCAGCTGGTAGAACTATCGGGCGACTCGGCGGAGAAAGAGAAGGAGCTGTCCACTCTTCGGGACCGGACAAACTTATCCCAACAGAACTGGTTGAAGGAGAAGGAGGAACTTCTCGAGCAAGAAGCGTACCTCCAGTCGGAGTTTGAGCAAGCGAAGGAGGCTATGCATAATTGGGAAATCCTTGCCATGGAGGAGCGATCTATTCGGGAGAATCTGAACGAGAAGGTCGGGGATCTGGAGGAGCAGCTCAGCAGCCTAAGAGAGGGATATGAACGAGCCACCCATGAACGAGACACCCAACAGTCAACAGTTGATGGCCTCCAGCGCGCGTTGCAGGAAATCCAATTGGCGCGAAAGCAAGAGCTGCGAGAGCTTGTCGAGAGCTCTGATTCTCAACTCGAGGACCTCCGACGCTCTCTGCGGGAAGCACAGAAGCAGGCCACCGACGCCGATAAGGGTCTCCAAAATGCCCTGGAAGAGATTGAGCGAGTCCGGCCATTCGAGAAAGAGGTCAAGGAGAAGAACCTACTCATTGGCAAGCTACGACATGAGGCAGTCACATTGAATGACCACCTGACGAAAGCCCTACGATTCCTCAAGAAAGGAAAGCCAGAGGATAATGTTGACAGGTATGTTCTTGTGACACCCACTTACCTCAATTATATACTGACATCATACAGACATATTGTCACCAACCATTTCCTACACTTCCTTGCTCTAGACCGATCTGATCCGAAGAAATTCCAAATATTGCAACTGATCGCTGCACTATTAGGCTGGAATGATGGTGAGTGCTGCAAACAACAAACGTATAATTTCTCGAGCCCATCTGATGATTGAAAATAGAGCAACGTGAACAGGCAGGTCTTGCCCGGCCAGGGACATCGAGTATGCCTGGGAAGCTCCGAGTCCCCGGCACTCCCCTCCGTACCCCGAGCACACCAAACCTGGCAACGGAATTCATGGATAATGGGGCCTCCAGTAAAGAGACGTTAGCCGAACTATGGTCTAATTTCCTGGAGCAAGAGGCGGAGGTGGGTAATATGAATCCATCGCGACGAGGAAGCCATCAGGGGCCTCTTAAATGATAGGGTGGAGAAATGTATAAAGTAGGAAAGGCATAGAACTTGGGATATTGATACTCTGGTACTTTGTCCTACTTGATAAATTGCATGTAACTAGTTATGTACTCACTCCGTCTACACATTTCCATTCATGGATGTATACTTCGTGTACGGTGTAGTGCCAAGAGATATGGGCTTCTTCCGCCTTCCTCTTCCGCCTTCCTAATAAATAAACAGACTAAGCTGGATTCGGACGGAACAAAGCCGTCTTCAGCTAAATAATTGCCTTGTTCATTTTAATTTCAATCCTTATATGCCTCTCTCGTCTTTCCGTGCCTTCTCAGCGTTTTACAGACCATTCGTCCGTGCCACTCATTCTGCATCTACAATGGCCTCCACTGGTAAGATAAAAGCTGCTTCATGGCAGAACACAACACCCCACCGTTCGACGCAGACATACTGACAAGACCACTTTTGTGCTAAAGCCTACCGCCCCATTGTGATTTCCGGCCCATCGGGGACCGGAAAGTCGACTCTGCTCAAGCGATTGTTTGCCGAGTACCCCGATACGTTTGGATTTTCTATCTCGGGTCAGTACCAATAGTGACAAGGAGAGGAGGGGTGGAATGAATTGGCGCCGCAGCTTTGCTCACACGTGCGCTAAATAGAAACCACACGATCTCCGAGACCCGGCGAGCAAGATGGCCGTGAATATAACTTTGTCACAAAAGACGCATTCCTCGACCTAGTCGCCAAGAACGGGTTTATTGAACATGGTGGGTTTACACTGCTAGGCATAAAAAGAAAGATTTCGGACATCAATTAACCGACCGAGCAGCTCAATTCGGCGGGAACCACTATGGAACATCTGTGCAGGCTGTCAAGAACATCGCTGAGAAGAAGCGTATCTGCATATTGGATATTGAGATGGAAGGAGTCAAGCAGGTGAAGCGAACGGATCTCAATGCGGTAAAGTGTCCTAGGGAATTCTGATGATGGGACTTTACTAATGATTCATAGCGTTTCTTGTTCCTTGCGCCGCCTTCTCTTGAGGTGCTGGAGCAGCGCCTCCGTGGCCGTGGCACCGAAACCGAAGAATCTCTCCAGAAAAGACTCAGCCAAGCTAAGAACGAGCTTGAGTATGCAAAGCAGCCTGCGGCTCACGATAAGATCGTTGTTAACGATGATCTGGAGAAAGCATATGTTGAGCTGCGCGATTGGGTTGTTGACGGTGGTAAGTTCGGTGCGCAATAGTACACACTTACATTGCATATGGGGAAATATGATTTAGTCGATGGTCATGACTAGCAAGGCGACAGCCCCGGTTGGTATCTTTCAATCCAAGAATAGAAGTTGCTCTCGTCAAGTTAATTAAGAAAACTAAGTACATAGAAAGCACCAGAGATGGCACAAGCACTGGAGTGCCAATTCTCTTTTTCCCCGGCAATACAAGCTCGATGGGTCTCCCAAGAAGACACAAGATGGGATGTAGGATACAAACGAAAAAAAACAAACGCAAAAGAAAAAGGAAAAATGGGATATCTGCAAGGGCCTGCTGGCGTCAAAAGAGGACAGTAAGTTTTCGGAGAGGGCCGTCGCGCAACGGTTACAGCGCTCGGATCAGACATGAAAGATCACCGAGTTTAGTATCCGTTCATGGCTGCGCGCTGCGAGTTGCGGCTCAGCTCCCGGTCCGCGGAGGGGCTGATGGGCCGGCTGCCACCGGTGTGGCCCCCGGCAGCGCTGCTTTCCTTCAGGGCAAGCAATTGCTTGGCACGGAAGGTCTCGTAGTGGATCTGGCTGGTAGTCTCGACCAGATCCTGAAGGTGGGTGCGGGTCAGGAAGTTGCGCAGGTAGACGAATTCACAGTGGTTCTCGTCCTCGACGTTGATAACACCCCAGCGGTTCTGGCGGCCGCGAACCTGCTTGCCGTTGACAACAATGGTCTTCTCACTGCCGACAACCGAGAAAGGAATGATGTCCTGTAACTAGAGGTTAATTTCGCGTTATAACAGCTCTGCCAGGATCGAGCATACCTTGATCTGAGCGTTGATAGCACGCTCCTCATCATCGAGCTCGTCATTATCGTAAGGGTACATCTTCAGGTTGTGGAAGGAGAACTCCTCCTTGATGCGCTCCTTGAACGCCTGACGCTCTTCGAGGGTGAGAGAGTCGGACTTGGCAATAACGGGAACAACGTTGACGACATCGGACAGCTTCTTCAGGACAACGATATCGATAGGCTTGAGGCTATGCGGGGTCAAATGGGTCAGTCCAAAGGAGCTCGAAGGGAAGCCAAGGGATAGGCGGGGCAAACTCACGCATGGCCGGAGGGCTGGATGAAGAACAAGCAGCAGTGAACACGAGTATCTTGGATGTAACGCTCACGCTGAGCGGTGAGTTCCTTGCGGAGGTATGCCGAGTGCTGATCCTTGATGTACTTGACAATGGGGTCCCAGCTGATCATAATTAGCTTAGATCCAGTAGCTCCAGCATGATGGGACTCAATTACCATCGGTCGTTGTTGACC